CTACGCCAAAAAAAAAAATGAGTGGGGGGCGGGCTATATATATATATATATATATATATATATAACTAAATATATTTTTATTTACAATTATCAATACTAAAATTTGACAACATTAACAACTTACTTTTCCTGACATCAGTCGCACTCACATTGAAGCTCCAGCAATATCATGGTTCTTGGCTCATTTTAACCGAATCATTGAATCAGTCAGTTGTTGACTCAAGAACGGCTGCAGTTGGATCAGTCTGATTAGTGAATGAATTGTTCAGTGTGATTCCTGAACCAATTTGAAAAGAATAACCATGTTCGCAGATCCATCATTGCTATTGCCTTGGAGCAGGTGGCTGAAAAAAATGTACTTGAGAACAGTAACAAATTAAAATACTTTGTTACTTTCCACCACTGAAGAATTATACTGGAAAGTGAACTATTGAAATTCTGATGAGAAAAAAATTGAGTATTTTAATTTAATTTAATTTAATTTTTAAGTTTAGTTTTAGCAAGTTTAAAAACATAAATCATGTAAGCTGAAAGAAACCCATTTTTGCGGACTATTTGTCACTGATAAGTGTGACACACACTCTCTAGTCTAGAACTATAACATCATGCTCACATATACAACAATAACTCCTACAATGTTTACACACATTAATTATACTCATATTTCTGCCAACACAGGCAAGGAAGAGTTTGTCAATTGTATTTGTCAATAAATAAATGCGTAGAAATGTAAAACTACTGTTAAAATATTACAATAAGCAAGCAGTGTTAAGAGGAAGAGTATATGATAGTTTAGCCAAAAATGAAAATTCTACATCATTTACTCACCCTCATTTTGTTCCAAACCTGTATCACTTTCTTTCTTCTGTTGAACACATAAGATTTTTTATTTGAATAGTTCAATGTTGTTTTGGACCTCAGTTACTTTTATTATATGGACACAACCAGGTCTTCTTTTGTGTTCTGCAGAATATTTTTATTTCTATCTGTTCTATCCCTTTAAACGTGTACTTCATCCACTAACACATGCATATGCAATCTGTGCATAAATGTGATCCCACATGTAATCTCCTGTAGAGACTTTAGGAACATGTGTAACAGAGTATGAAAGGGAAAGTGAATCTCTGCGGTGTAGTGTTCATTTACTGAAGCTCCTGAATTCATATTCAGAGCCTTTTGTATGTAAAATCCTGCAATCCCAGCAGCCCCTGTGAACCGTATCTGCTCCCGCTGCCACTGACTGTAATTCACCCAAGAGTTCCATGGACCTTTGCAGCAGGGGTCAGCACCGTACTGCAACACACGGCTCCCGTGTCTCCACCTCATTCTTACACTGCAGAGCCCTGCCTCCACTTCCCCGCCTGTAATCAGCCATGGCTCCAGCACAAGCGGCAGATCAGTTCTTTTCATTTAACCCTTCCACCGTCCCAAACCACCACACACACACACACACACATACCGCACACATCATCACTGAAATCCCAGACACTGCAATATTCCCATTATCCCAACCTTGATAAAATGGAAAAAATAAAATAAAATAACTTGGCCCTTCCAGGCCACTTTCCTGCAGAGATTTGATCCAACCCTGACATGACTCACCTGCCTGTAGCCTTCTAGTAGTCTTGAAGACAATGATTAGCTGGTTCAGGTGTGTTTGATTAGGGTTGGAGCTAACCTCTGAAGGAAAGTGGCCTGGAAGGGCCAAGTTTGCGCACCCCTGCTCTAGATATTACACTCTTGGGATTAAGGATTTCAGAAATACTTGATTCGTAAAAGACATGACTCTCCTCTATGTGCCAGTCTCTTTAATCAGCCAACATAGATCCTTTCAAAGCACTTTAACTGGACTTAACCTTCAGCTCTCTATAGATCAGTGTTTTACTCTGTATGTTCATCTGTAATTACTGTGCAGAGACAGTTTGATAACCATCAGCCTTAATTATACATTACTCAGACAGTCATTAGGAAGATTTAGTAAATCGCTGGGTGAATATAACACATTTTCTTTTGGTAATACCATCTCATCTACTAGATCTGCTGCAGATTTTTCACTGGGGTTTCATGAATGAGTTCTATGACTAACGTCAGCAGTACCAGTCTTTGGTACCAGACCAAATTTAGCTGGATCTTCCTGTATTTTAGTCATGCAAAAAAAGATAATGTAGCAGGTCATGTGGCCACCTGACTTACGGCCATACAACCATGGACATGCCAAATCCTGGAAGCTAAGTAAGGTTTTGCTTGGTTAAGTACATGGATGGACATACCAGGTGCTGTAAGCTTTTGGCCATCTATTTAAGGTTCCCCTGAGTTCAGTCCAAGACTCTGGGATAGACTGCAGCATCCCTGCAACTCTAAATAGGAAAAGTGATTTGGAGAATGGATGGGTAGTTGGATACAGCCATATGAAATGCAACAGGTTTTAACTTGAGTATTGTGTACATTTCAGGGTTGTGCACCTTACAGAAGTTGTTGTTTTTTTAAAGAGATAGATATGATTTATACTTGGATGGCTGGATGGATGGACAGATGAATGGACAAATACATAGATTCTAAATTCAAATTCACATCAGTTTGCCAATTCGTCAATTCTGAATTTATTCTAGTGATGAGACCCCACCCACTGTGACATCCGATTGGTCCAAAATCCTGCTCTTCATAGCATTAAACATCAAATATCTTCTAATTGGCTGTGATCGTGTCACATCAGCAGTTTTGTGTTCAGTATAGACAGATAAACTGCTTGTAGCTGGAAACACTGCATTGCGTGTTATTAGGACACAGTGTTTCAGTCTGCCTGAAATTGTTGGCTACATCTATAATTGAAAAGTATCATAAAGAAAAATCCTCATTGCTGTTGTCATAGTGTCCTTCTCAGTTATTAGCTTATCTTTGCGTCCTAAAAGTTTTCAAACTTTCCCAAAACAGTTAGCAGTTGTACTCATGGGTTTCTAACGTAACTGTCAACAATACCTTGGAGAGCCAGATTTCGGCTGTAGATATGGGGATGTTTATTTAATGCGCTCGGCACTATCAGAATATGTCATCAGCTGTGCCTCGGGACATGTCGAAAGATACAGAATGCTAAGACACAAGTTCTTAAATTCAGCCAGCAGACATTTCACAAGACTTGTTGTACAACACAACACTGGTGGCAGTATTACAGTAAGAAGCATTGTGGCTGTCACATCGCTCCTCCTGGTGATGCTCGCCAATGCGTTCCATGTGTTCAGGTGATGATGTTCAAGGTATGCCGAGTTGGATGGTGAGAAATCATTGTGACAGTAGAGTAGTGTGGGACCTGGAGCCTGAGCTGCGTCCCTGGGCCGGTGCACTGATGGAGAACGACACATACACGAGACACAGAGCCTCAGGCCTTTGATTACTGAACACGAACGGACAGGTATCCCATTTAACAGTCAGCAGCCCAGAGGTCAACTTCAGAAAGAAATCCTGCTGTAGTCATAGAGAACATGTCTTTTTCTGTCTCTGTCTGATGCTCCAGATGTTTTCTGACCATCATCTTCAATAATGTAAAGCAGCTGTTCTGGCAGCTGGGCTGCCTTCATACACGCAAAAATATTTATTAGGCAGCATTTAAAAATATAAAATGTGTGAATCTTTTATGCAATCATTTTTATGATTTTTGAAAATGCTAAATTAGCATGACAGTCCTACTGCTCCATTAAATCGACAGCCCTGTTGCGCCATGATTTATTTATTTATTTATTTATTTATTTATTTATTTTTTAATGTATGTATTTATTATTATTAATAATAATTATTATTATTATTGTTATTAATTTATGTATGTATGTATGCATTTATTTATTTATTCCATCAAATTAGCATTCAGTTTTAATGGCATTCTTTGGCCCTATTACTCTATGGATTGAGATTAATAAAAAAAATAATTATTAATTATTATTAAAAATTAATTTCATTTTTAATTAATTTGATTAATATTAATTTATAAAAAAGATTTTAAAATACTAAATTAACACAATATATTTATTCTAATCAATCA